GTGACAGAACTACGTTTTCTGCAACAGTTCAGTGTAGACAGCGGCTGATTCAGTTGTCGCAGAATAGTTGATTTTCTGTGCCGCTTTGGCTGTCGCTTCGGCGTTGCGTGCAGAGGTGACAATGCCTTGTTCAAGAGGTCCTGACATTAGAGGTGCAATTGCTAGAGGAAACCATAAAACAAGTAGATATGGACTGCGATAGGTACAAAGCAAATAAGACAGAAGTTTTTTGACGTGAAGCGGAACTTGGTTTTAGTAAAGTTTTTTTTTGGAAAAGAATAGTTGCTGGACGTCCCGTGTAATAGAAGGGGGTCGCTTTTGCAAATATTCGAGATTACACACGAATGGCACTGTTTATTCGAGCCAAGAGAACCACGGATCCCATCGGAAATGTGAGACAGTTTATATACAGCTGTTAACAATGAAAAAGCCTTGATGTTACAAAGGTGCTTTGATCATGTAGTTTAGCGTTGCTAATATTGTGATATCGGACGTTAATCTTTGTAAATATCAACATCAGCACACTTCCATTCATCATAATTAGCGAATCCCTTGAGACTTTGTATATTTTAGTGAAGCCTGACTTCTACGTTCGTATTTGTTTTTACGCATTCCATACTAACAAATGTTTACAATTCTAAACATGGTTTTCTTTTTTTTCTTTGTTTTATATTGTGATTTATAATATACCTCTTGTTTGTTACTAAAATACAAGTACTTCGAGTTATATTATTTATTTTACTTTTTCTATTTTATTATGACTGTATCTGTTTGCTATACATTATTCTGAAATGACTGATCAAATAAACATAAAATAATTAAAAGTGTAAATTCTGGCATCTGAAGTCAACAATAAATAATGATTGATTAGCTTTTTTCCAAGAAGAATTGTTTCTGCTTTCTAAAAATCATTTCGCTCCAAATCACTATACATTTGATAACAATTTTACCAAATAAAGGAAAAAGAAGTATACCAAAAACTGAAATCACTAAAATAAAGAGTTGTTAGAAGCTTTCAGATGCTGAAAAGCAAATTACAAACACAGAATCAAAGTTATATCACAGATATGAAAAATACCTGATTTTTACATTGCCCGTCAACCCTCAATCAATGTCGATCACTTTTTGTCGATTCAAAACTGGCGTTTCTGCTTAACTTTTCATCTTTGTTATTTTCGTCAAAACTTTGTCTCTTTGTCAAATTTTTGCGGTTACGTGCTTGTGCAGGTTCTGGATCATCGTTGACTGTTAAACGTACATGTTTATGCGAATCTAAAATGACGATAAGAATGACTTTGAAATATAGTTGATGGAGAAAGATATACATTATAAAATAAATTACAATAAGACAGAAATAACTTTAAACTTCTTGGCTCTAATGTAGATATAAATTTTTGTTGCACATGCCTTGAACTGTGAAACTTTTTAAAAATTTCTAACTTTTGTTTGGTGCATACTACCAAAGCAGATCGTTGATCATGCTTCTGCTGAATCTAATCTTTCTACGAAATGTGCTGGTTAATTTTTTTTTCGGTTGGAAGTCTGTTGACCTACAACAACCAGTAGTAGCTGCATTCTAAACTTTAACAGTCTTGATGTCAATGTTCAGTGATGTTGATGCTATCAAAAGACGTTGTACAAAAAATTCTGTAAATTTTTATTTTGAAAACGTTTTTTTTTTAAGTCCAGCCTTACTTTGATTGGATTTTAGGAACCTCTGCTGTTTTTCACAATTGGTGTGACGACAAAATAATAAGAACTGTTCTAGATAAGCTACAAGAGCTTTTTTTTTTTTTTTTTTGAAAAGTACTCAGATAAAAGTAAAAGGTGCTGAAACATGTACTAAGAACAGCTCTCAACGTTTTACTGATCAAAAACTTTGTTCTGCCTTTGAGAATAATTTTTCTAGTTGTGAAAACCTTTACCTCGCTTTATTACAAATATATCACTAAGAAAAAAGCACAAGGAATGCTTTAAATAAAGCAATGCTCTGAGCTAATAAAAGAAACACAAGGAATGCTCTATTTAAAACATTCCTTGTGCTTCGTCTATTAATAAGAATAAATAAACGACAGACAACAACGGAACAGACACGGTGCAGAAGTTTTCATACATAATTTTGCTGTCATCGAATTAATACAAACAATTCGGTGTCCTAAGCGACAGTTGTATAATATGACAAGAACCAAAAATAAGTTCATCTTTACGGCAAGTACAGTTATTTTTTCCTTCTCTCTCGCTCTGCTCCCTCATTAAACGATTGACCTAACGTTAGGCGACTGTAAAATAAAGCGAACGGAAATAAGCGAAAAAAAATCAAAAACCCTGTGTCTTATTTAGCCATCAAAAAAATAAGTTCTTTAAATCGTGATTTCTAAATTTCAACTACTCTACCGTTCTTTATGTATTTTGAGTAATAAAAAAGAAGAACTTTACCTTCACCTTTCTTCTTTTTTACACAGCTATGTTTGTTTATACATTACTCACAAAGATAACACATAGAGTAATAAGAAGCATAAAGCTACTGATAAGTGTGCAAAAGTTTTGGCATAGAGCAAGCATTTTTTATTGGTCGTCATCAAAATTAAACGTTGTTGCCTAAGAATTCTTTTATCTAAAAAGCATAAATTAGCAGTTTGCAATAGCTCTTAGGTGTATCGACTACAAAAGCGAATTAGTGTAATCAAAACATCAACAAGTTAGTCAACAATATACACATACACGTAGAAACAAAAGCACTGCCAGAAGCGCGTTGGTCACAATGACCCCCTTTTGTTATGTCGAAGTACAGCTACCGTATTGTTAGTTCCACCTTCTAGTGGACCCACATCGCTTACATTATCTTCTTCTGTAAAAACACGGCAGACTCTTAGATGTAATCCGATGAAAGTTTATAGTCATATGCATCAAACTGTAAGATAAAAAAACTGATTTCATCCAGTTTTCAGTCAAAATACTTGTTTGTTTAAATGTCTACGGCAAGTCTTTTTTGCACATTCAACATCTTATGAGTTGTATTATACTTGAAAGGTGATTGCATTCACATAAGTGAAGAATCTTCTTAAAATTACAAAAAGCTGTTTTTTTTTTCTTTTTTTAAATACAATACTTAAAAGTTCTAATTTGACTGAAATAATTTTTTGAAACACACCTGAAATAGACAGTTGTCATTTTTGTTAGAAACATGTTTTTTTTCTAAAATGACTGTGGTATACTTTAAAAATATTGTTATATGTGTTGCAGTAACCAAAATAAAAAGAAACTGTTGGTAAAGAAGTAACTCTGTACCAACCAGAGGAATTACCGTGTTTCGACTGAGAAGCTCTGAACGGACTGGCAAAAGGATTCGTTGCTATTTCATGTGGTAACGGGTTTATAGACAGTCGACTGCCTCGAGGACTGCTGTTTTTTTCGTCGTTGAGAGCTGATGATCTTGACCCAACTTTTTTAATTGGCTGTAATATGCGTTAAGTAAAAAGCTTGTAATTTGTGTGCAATTTATAAATAAGTTGGATAACAAATTGCTGTTTAACCTTGCCTTCCAATACTGAATTGTGAATAGATATTTTCTTAATAACCTTTCTTTTGCCAATTGACAAACAGTATGATACTCCCTGTAAATAAAAATTTTAGCATTTTATTTTTCTTTCTCCAAAAAATTTTTGGTATGACAGATACTATCTTTTTTACTGTACATTAGTTTAAACTTGGTAAGCGTAGCTTATAGTCTGAAAATTTGCTCATGAACAGATTTTTGACCTATGCACCTGCATTAAGCTCAACACAGAAAGACCAAGCCAAACGCCTATAGAACCTCCAAGAGCTGCTGCAAATGTGACAATTGTGTATTTTCTTTGTTGTTCCAAGTTCAGGTATTCGAATGAGCTCCAATGCACTTCAATTAGTGTCAAATCTAAAATAAAAGTAGATTTAAACGACAGCTAAATTTGTCTCAAAAAAGTTGCAAAAAAAAAACAAAGAAAAAACAACTCAATTTTATCGTGCGTTAACTTCTAACAGATTAAGTGGTAATGCTGAAAACTGAAACTACGAAAAAGATAAGGCAAATCAAATAACAGATGACAACCGTCCCGCGCCATTCGGCCTTTTGTTTCCAGATGGACATTGTAACGAATCTGCGAGCAGTCTCGACGGCATTTTTTTGTACATTCTTGATCACTATAGTTCCCTCTTTGAACACTGGAATTTTACAAATTGATAATTGTTCTGCCTCCAAACAAAAATTTTGTAGACATTATTCTTTTATGTATTTGTGTAAAAACAATTTGCTTCACAATTCTTTTGCCATTATTTTGTTATTAGAAAGAAATAAAAAACTATTACTTCTAAGATTTTAAAGTTGCTTTAGAAACATTTATTTAGAAGAAAAAATTATTTTTCAAACTTGTCTAATTGTCTGCCGTGAGTGACTTACTCAACTTCGCATTTTGTGTAGTCGCATAGAGGATATTTGTCGAATTCAGAATCATCGGTGACCAAATACGACAAAGACCACGGTGTACACTCACAAAATCCCTAGAAAAAAAACAGACAGTACTTTTAACAAATTACATCTCGTAGCCGAAAAAAAGTCAAAAAATGGGTTAGTTGTCGTCAAAAGCTGCAGAATAATTTTTTACCAAGTATTGGATTTTTAATTGTCGGACGGTTTCGGGCAATCTTAAATGGAGTTCAAAAATTTTTTTTCAGTAATTTATTTTTTTTTTTAATTTTGCAAAGTTTATTCTACAAATGTTTTGATTCTTCATTTAGAAATTAATAATAAATTTTTACTTTTTGCTTTAACTACTTTCTTTTAACATAAATTCATAGTTTACTGAACCACACTACACTAAACTCTTCATAGTTTTCTGGTCTGAAAACCTATGTTTTGGAAAGTTTTATTTTTACTTTTTAAAAAATCTTTTCCTGTTTCTGTTTACTGTAATAATTTATTCCTTTTACTGTCATTTTTCGTTACTTAATGTGTAGGCGAAAAAACGTTTTGAAATTTACGCATAATTGCTCGACTTTTTTTTTTACATTTTACAATTCAGAAAGTGTTAAAATAATCAATAAAAAATTATAGTCTATAGTTTTTTTCCTTTTTTAAGAAATGTTGAAACTGTAAGTATTTCAAGTGGGAATAAGTTCATTGTTAACAAAAATAAGAAGTTCAGATGACTCACTCGAATCGTTTCCATTCTGCAGCGACTGTAACATTCAAATTCGTTGTCTTCACCTTCTTCAAACTCATGACATGCGGTCCCTTCTTCATCATTTTCAATCATCTGATATTTGGCTCGTACATCAACACTGACCTCATGATAAGATCCTAAGCACAGCTAAAAAATTACCACTTTTACAAGTCTAACTGCGTTGTCTTTCTGCTACTTCTAAGCGACAGTTTTTCGAGAGAAAATCATTCAAACAAAACATTTTGAGGAACATATTTATGTAGATGCTAGTCTAAAGCACTTTTAAACACTATAGTTTTTTGACTAGTTGCAAAAAAAAAGTAGTTTTTTTTTAAAACCTGAGAACAAGAACAAGAAAACTAATGTTTTCAGGTGCACAGAAAACTGCAACAGACAACAATAAAGTTACAAATAATTGTCATCTAACATCGTGTCGTGTACCGTCCATTACTTGAGCCTTTCCTTGCATAAATCGAGCTAATGAACTGGGCCTGCCATGAACGTCAATTATCATACAATCCACATTTTTATCTGCCAAATTTGCTGTATTATGTGATAACATCAAAATAAAAAATTTTCCCTGAAAAATATTGTTGCAGTAAAAATTATCTATCATTAACTGTTGCAAAACAGAAAGAATTAATATTTGTGTTTAGTTAATTAGAGTTTGGACAATTTTTATCCTTGTTTCTTTTCAAAGTATTCACTCAACAAAAACTGCCTGATTTAGCGAAAAGGGCTACAACAGCATCACCAATAATTATTACGCTTAACTTTCTCAAATAAAAAGCAGAAAAATTAGTCAAATTATAAAGCAAGAATTTTACAAAAGAAAGCGAGAATGTCAGACTTAGTAAACGTTTGCGGTATTAGTATAGGCTTAGCAAACACTTAAATTTTTTACAAACTAGAAATTGTTCGATGAAAATTTTGGTGCTTCAAACATGGTTTCCAGTAATCGCTTAGAGAATGCCATTATTGTTGAGCATCGACCAGTGAATTAAACTTTATAGTACATAAAAAGCAAGTCGAATTTTGATGGTGTGCAGCAAACTACATTTTTGTAAAAAAAAGATTTTATTTTAAACTTATACACTCGTTAAAGTATTTTTCCCGCTGCAAGTTCGAATGCATTTCGTTTCAAAATTTCTGTTTTTTCTTAGCTGCAATCCATAAAAAAAGTAAAATCAAGTAACCTGGTCTGTAATTGGCAAAAAGTTATCTTGGTCATATTCTGGTTGAAAACACATCTGTTTCGTAGAAATCCAAGTTATTCTTGGCTTTGTTTTCACCACAATGTCTTCATCATAATGAAACCGTTGGAAACGTTGCACTGATCTTCAAATAAAAATACCTACATTTTGATGCATCACGAAAATTACGTTAAAAGAAACGAGATTGTTGAACGTCTAGCAATATTTGGTTTTATAAAGTTTTATGCCACTCTCGAAAGCTATAATGTAAAAAAGTTTCTTCAAAGTAATCATAAAAGTTCATCTGCTGAATTTTTTTCAAGAAAGAAGTGATTGAGTAATTTTTTGACAATTAAATGTAATTTGTCGAATTACAAACCGTCTTAATACTTCAATCCCAGTTTTTTGTGTAAATTCTTGAAACGTAACATTTCGCTCCTTTATGGCGCCCAAAAATACCTCAAATATAAAAGTTATTCACCAAGCAAAGAAGAATGAAAAAACGATGCTATGCTAATTGAACACTGTAAACCAATATATTCTATAATGACCTTTAGTAATCTGATTTGAAATGACAAGAACGATGAAAATTTCAAAGTTGTACGATAGTGCTGACTTTCAGTTGTTCTCGTTTTGCTTTCAGACGTGGATGGGTTCTGAACAGATCAATGTTTCTGGCTGCGCCATGTGCTGTCACCTCACGTTCAATAGAACTTAAATAAGCAACAACCTCATAAGCATCCATAACAACACGAAAATCCCATGGTTCTTTTAAAAATGATTCTCTGTCAGACATATTTACCAATTTTTCCTATAAAACATACTTTTACAAAGTAGTCTGCCAAATTGTATTTGATTAAATACTGAATAATAATAAAATTTTTGCACTGTTGTCCAGTAATTCAAATAATTTTAGGTTATAATAACCAAAAGCTTTACCGATCTCTGGACTGCATAACCTTGAAAAGCCTACTTGGACAATGGCGTCCCATTCCTCTGGTGTTTCCGTCAAATTATCAATGTTGAAATGGCTCATTCCTTGTTGCCGCGACATACAAAATGTGATGTTCGGCATAGTCATCGATTCGTTAAAAACAATTGTAAAATCTGTATCTTTGGGGTCGCTTACGTATTCCATGATCTGCAGTCTTTGCAACTTTTACAGTCGTGAAACAGTATTATAAAACATGTAAAAATTAAGAATTTAACTATTGAAACAGGCTAACGCTTTCAAATTCGCCGTTGCTCCTGTTTTAATAAAATTTAAAAACTAGTATTTTTCAATGTAATCATATGATTGTTGTTTCACAGAATACTTTTAAAATAGGAAGAGAATTATTATCAACGAGGACAACAAGAAATTTACCAATTCTACGACATCTTTAATAGTTAATGCAGCTAAAAAGCCGATCAGAAACCAAAACGCATATTTTTTACAAGTTTCTCCGGCAAAAATTTCTTTCCAGTTTGGCCCCTTATGTCGTGGTGGGCCTCCAGGATGTTTGATATTCTCCATAACTTTCACCTAAACAACAAAAACTAAAAAGTAAATAAGTAAAAGAAAAAATGGAGAGAGAATTGGTGTAATTTTTTTGAGGAAACAGTTAAGCTATTCCACCATCTATATTTATGGCTAACAAAAGAGAAGAAAAATGATAAAAAAAAA